GACTCATAAAACCTTTTAAGAACTTTTAAAAGCGAAGAGACATACTCATAAGCGAGAAATTGTGTAACCCTAAATCTGGTTCAAATGTTGTTGTTAATACATAATTTTTTTTTCCAAAAATGTTATTATTGATATATAACCACGAAAATAACTCTCTCACATTTTTAGATAATGTAAAAGAAATGTCTTTTTTTGTTTTTGTTTTTATTGTTGCTCTCCCTCCGTAAAATATTACTTGCATTACCAACTTCGTTCGTATCGAATATTTTTCTTTTCAGTCTACTTTTATTCAGAAACTCTACAAAAAAACTCTTTTATTTTCATAGTTAGTCTCGAAATCTTTTCTTCTAAATGTCATCTCTATTTAACACCATTTATATATCAGACAACTTTTTCATTTACTCAGATTGTATTAGAAAAAATTCTTCCCTTTTCTTACTCTTTTTTTGTATTTATTTTTAGATTATATAAAACAAAATTTTATCCTTACTTTTGTTTTTATTATTGCTCTCACTCCATAAAAAATATTACTTTCATCACTAACTTCATTCGCATCGAATATTTTTTTCTTAAGTCTATTTTTATTTAGAAACTCAACAAACAACTCTTTTATTTTCATAGTTAATCTCAAAATTTTTTCTCTCCTTTTCTTCCCAATCTCATCTCTATTCAACATATATAATTTACATATCAAACAATATTTTTATTTACTCAGATTGTATCAACAAAACAAAAAAAGTTCTTTTTCTTTTCTCTCTCCTTTTTTTTTATGAATATATTCTTCTCAGATCTTGATGAATCTATCAAGACAATTTTAAAGTGATGTATATGAATGATGATATCTTTTGTGATCTTGATCCACTTTTTGAAGGTGATGAATATAATCATTGCAAAGTTTCAAATTATCAAATTCCTTGTATGAATAATCAAAATGAAGAAGAGAAATCTACTGAAAATGATGATAAAATAATGACCATACAAGAGAAGGATGTGGAAGTAGCAAGATGTGAAATTGATTTGCAAAACTTGAAAAGTGGTGAAATAATAAGAAAGAGGAAAACTGAAGAATTTTCTAGTGTATCTACTAATGAGGCATTGGTGAAAACAAAAATAAACCTTAGAAGGTCTCAGAGAATTGCTATTAACCCTAGTCAAGAGCTAATTAGAAAAAAAATAAAAGAAAAATGATAGAAACGAGATAAGACTGAAAGCTTTTCTGGCCAAAAGGACAAGGTAAATTTATAATTAAAAATCTCTAAATTTCATTTATAAGTCATAAAATGTTAAACTAATTGCTACTATTATATATGTGTTCTTAATTTTGCATACACCTTTATTTTTGCAATTTTAAAATGGGGGTTTAATTATTGAGTTGAATCAGAAATTTTGGACGCAACTAAAGAGAAATATATTTTAAGAGTGTGAATTATATCAATACTTTTAACACATATTTTTTAAAATTTATCAAGAACTTTTAAAAGCCAAGAGACAAACTCATATGCGAAAAATTGTGTAATCCAGAATCTAGTTCAAATGTTGTTGTTAATAGATAAATTCTTTTTTTTTTTCAAAAATATTATTATTGCGAAAATAATTCTATCACATTTTTAGATTATATAAAAGAAATCTCATATTTTTATTTTTATTGTTACTCTCACTCCATATATAAAATATTATTTTCATCACAACTTCGTTCATATCGATTTTTTTTCTTTTCATTCTACTTTTATTCAGAAACTCTATAAATAACTCATTTATTTTTATAATTAGTCTCGAAATTCTTTTTTTTTTTCTTCTCAATCTCATCTCTATTCAACACATTTATATATCAAACAATTTTTTCATTTACTCAGATTGTATTAGAAAAAGTTCTTCTCTTTTACTACTCTTTTTTTGTATATAATTTTAGATTATATAAAACAAAATCTCGCTCTTTTTGTTTTTATTTGTTTCTCTCACTTCAAAAAATAATATTACTTTCATCACCAACTTCGTTCTTATCGAATATTTTTCTTTTTAGTCTGCTTTTATTCAGAAACTCTACAAATAACTCTTTTATTTTCATAGTTATCTCAAAAAAATTTCTCTCCTTTTCTTTTCATCTCATCCCTATTCAATGTATTTTACTTATATATCTAACATCATTCTTATTTACTTAGATTGTATCGAATTTTTTTTTCTTACTCTTTTTTTTCTTTAAGTCTCAGATCTTGATGTTCAGTCTATCAAAAAAATTTTAAAGTGATGGATATGAACGATGATATCTTTTATGATCTTGATCCACTTTTTGAAGGTGATGAGTTCAATCATCGCAAAGTTTCAAATGATCAAATTCCTTGTATGAATAATCAGAATGAAGAAGAGAAATTTACTGAAAATGATGATAAAACGATGACCATACAAGAGAAGGATGTGGAAGTAGCAAGCTGTGAAATTGATTTGCAAAACTTGAAAGGTGATGAAATGATGGTTAGAAAGAGGAAAACTGAAGATTTTTGTAGTGGATCTACTAATGAGACATTGGTGGAAACAAAAATAAACCTCAGGAGGTCTCAGAGAATTGCTAGTAACCCTAGCCAAGAGCCAATTAGAAAAAATATAAAAGAAAAACGATACAAACGAGAGAAGATTGAAAGCTCTTCTGGCCAAAAGGATAAGGTAAATTTATAATTAACCATCTCTAAATTTCATTTGTAAGTCATAAAAATGTTAAATTAATTGCTACTATTATATATGTGTTCTTAATTTTGCACACACCTTTTTTTTTCCAATTATAAAAAGGGTTTAATTATTGAGTTGAATCAGAAATTTTAGTACACCTTATATGTTAGATATGTTTGTTGCAATACCACATAGAAAAAAGTTAATTATATGTTGTCCTATCGAAGACACAAACTCATAGATATCTACAATCCAAACAAATAATTTGTCTAAGTTAATTTTTTTAATTTAATTTACCCAATTAATTATAAAATGTACCTCTACTTTTTGAATTGATTTATGATTTAGCTTGTATAAGTTAATCAATCATATTAGGTGTGGATTACTCAAATAACAATTTTAATCTCAATTATTGCATTTTGAGATATGAAAAATCAACTCATTTTATTACTGTCAATTTTTACTTGACGATGTTATCAAAGTGCTTGTATTCATGAATTCTGTAAAAGGAAAATCAAATTCAACAAGGATTTGATATGGGTCAAATAATTGTGATTACATGGAGTAACTTCCCCCTTTTGTTCTTTGCTCTGTATTAACTATTTAACTTTAGTTTAGCTTGTATTTTTGTCGATTAATCTCTCTCTTTTTTATTTTTTTATTTTATTTTTATGTTACGCTGGTTTTAATTAAGTTAGTATCTTGTATAAATTTTCGTCAATCTATTGCTTTTACTATACTAGTCTTCACTTATTTCTTTGTAGTAGTTCATAATTACTATTAAATGTTTGGTAGAAACTAAAATCATAAAATATTTCTTTCATTATTTCATATTAAGTGATGATTTTATCTTGGGTACATTTCTTAAGAAATCTACTTATTTTTAGAAAGAAAAAAAAATAACTTTTCTAATCTATCCTTAATTAAATAATAGACATTCAGTCTATTTATTTTTATTTGTCTTTAGTTTTTCGATAAAATTTTGTTTTTACTTGTCATATATAATTTATCAAGAGAACAATTATTTTTTCCTGTTTTACTTTTAGCATTAACTTTTAATTTTCTAAATCATTTTCAAGATATTTGAAAATGCTAATAATCATGACTATAATAGTTAAATATGCATTTTATTCGTATTTTTTTAAAAAAAATGTTGTGTCCATTGTGGACAAGTGAAAGTGTGCAAAAGAGCATGTTATATAGTGTTTTGGTCCACTTTTCTTACTTTTCTATATATTTTATCTTATCGTAGGGAAATACTCCTCCTACTGGGGAATCCCCCCAGTGAAGCATAACTGTATGAAAGGAAAATCCAACCCGGTGGCCGATAGCTAGAAGAAGAAAAAGAAGAAACTCTTTTTGATAGGTGAAATACGCCATATTTATCTAAGAACTATTATAGTACCTATTATATTTTGTCTTTCCCTTCTCAAGTACTTGCAGCTCGCTGCTAACATTCTCTAATGACTTATATTATCTATAATATTATCTTTTCTTAAATCAAATATATTAATATATAGTCTTTTAGTTACATGAAAATTTACTCATTTAAATAAGAGTAAGTTTTAAAAAAGGAAAACTAGTATTATTCTGATTATGTGACTGATTAAAAAAAAGTATAAAAACGTCATTTATAAGGTGACGGAAGAGTATTGTGTCACTTTATGTTACATACAATTCACATGAGGTTTTTTTAACTTTTATGTATTTTTTTTTATGATTACTCCTAATATATATTGCTAAAGGAGTACAGTAAATCTTCATATTTTTACTTTTATAGTTTTGGACAAACAAAATATGCGATGTCAGCTTTTATATGAAAAAATAATCACTCTAAAATGTAATCAGTAAAATTATCTAGACGATAAGAGGGCGCGCTAAATGTGATGCATATTTTGACCAAAGAAAAATTGAGAAATAACTTTAACCGGAAGCCATTTTGTATTTATCGGGTAATCTTCCCACAAGGAACATATGTAGTTCCACCGCATTATAAGTTTTGGATTCGGACTCTTCTTCATTTCTTCTTTATCTATTTTTTTCGATTTTTGTATCATATCGTTAACTCTTTATTAGGTGACAATGAAAAATCTCATTTGATATAATAATCGATTTGGTGACAACGAAAAATTTCATTTGAAGTAATGATCGATTTGGTGTGATCACGTCATTACGTTAATTTTTTCTTCTTGTTTTTAGTTTTACTTACTACCTGATAATTTTATGTTGTCCTTGAACTATCTTTTAGAGTAATTTTACCATGTACCTTGCTTTTTTTTTTATAAGTTATTGTTCAAATAATTGATGAATGACATTGTGTAATGACGAAAAATGATAAGGTCCATCTAAACATTATATTCTATTAAAATAATACAATACTATACAATTTATTATATTATTATGTAAAAACTAGGCAAATCACATAGTCTAAGGGAAAAATTACTTTCTATTCCTATTGTTTCACTATTTACCAAAAATCCCTTTTTTATATTAGTCCGAATACTTAATATAACAAAATGATACTTGAATTAGAGCGGATGGATACTTTATATGTTAGTTAATTATCTGTTACGGCGTTAAAAAAGGGATAACATTTATCCTACGATTCACATCCCTTCCAATCCAACGATTTTGTTCCTATCTTTACGCCTAAAATCATTCCCATATATCAACAATTACACCAATTACTCAATTTTTTAATTTTAAATCTATTCTCTCAAGTTCATCAATTTCAAGTTCCTAAAGGGGTAAGACTATTTTTTCATCATTTTTTTTCAATTCTTCAGATTTCATTTTTTTATTAAAAAAAATTAATGTTTTTATTTACAATTTTCTTATACATATAAATCCTTCTCCTTCTTTTTAGTATGGTGCCTTGTGTATTTGATATTGACGATGAAAACTTTCATTAAAATAGATCTAATCAACTCATTATGATTTCGATGATGATTATTGAGCTAAAAAATAGATCCAAAAGGTTGTAGGATTCATTAACCATGGCGAATCATAATATTTAGAAGGACAAAACTTCATCTTTTAAAGCAAATGTGGAAGAACTTCATCCCTGGTGAGTTATTTTTAAAAAATTAGATATATTGACAACAATGATAAATTATCATATTATTCTGTACCTTGCTTTATATCTAACGACATTATATAAAATCCTAATTTTGATTCTTTTCATTTTTCGATATATTGTCACTGATCAATCAAACTATATAGTAGAAATTATTTTGATGAGATGTAATTTGCAGAATAATATATTATATTATAAAATAGTTTAACCACGATACTTAAATAACATATAATGAATATATGATGTTTTATTTAGTATCAGAAACAAATATCATCAAGAGGTATTGAGTATCGTTACTATTATTATCATTATGTATCAACTAAACAATAAGATTTTTTATAGTTACTATAAAGTATAGTGCAATTAACTTTTTGTTTAAAATTTAATTCATTTTTGTAATGTACCTGCAAAATGTTTATAGTGACGGTTGAATGTTTGTAGTTGCATTTGCTGAATTCTTTAGCGATGAAGTCAACATTCATCTAATGGTTTTTGAGTTGACTACCTTCGCACAAGATATCGACACTATTATGGAGTACGATCTCGACAAGGTCAAGGTGAGATATGTTAGCGATAACGATGATCCATTAAAGCTAAAGAGCTATTTCACTCCACAACAATAAGATGACTTGGTTCACATAAATTAGTGATTATGTACCAATTCACAGACAACTTTGATGTTTATTGTTTTTAAGATACATTAACTAATATTTTGGAGGATTTGTTATTTTGCAAGATACATTTTCTCAAGTTTTACAATTTTTTGTAACAAAATTATTTAATTGAATATAATATTTGATATTGTTAGTACCTTGTTACGTTTTGTCTATTATAAGTATTTTATACATTATATATTTTATACTCTATATTAATTGTAATATAGAGTATATTACAATTAATATATAATTGATATTATATTATTAGCAGATACAAGGTTTTTCAAAACTTTGTTATTTATATGTTACACGATTATTTTTTATATAACAAAATTTGGATGTATCACATCACGTGATACTATATTTTTATACTTGATACAAATCAGTTAATTTTCAATATATTTAGTACCTTTTAACATTATGTTTCTTATAAATTTGTTACAAATAAATGAGTATGGTTGATACTATACTATAAGTTGACACAAATTTGTCAAATAATATATTATGTATATGATACACAATTATTATTTATCATGCTTTCAATAACACAAATTGATGTGTAGAACAAATTAGCCAAAAAAAAAAGTATATTAAGCATATGATACACAATTATTATTTATCATTCTTTCAACATCACAAATTGATGTGTCTCACAATATTAAACCTGATACTATATATTTACAACTGTTTCAATTCTCTAAATTTGCAATATATTTAGTATCTTTTAACATTATGTCTCTTATCCTATAACACATCACAACTCTTATTCGGTACATTTACAACACTTGATACTATATTATCCGATACAAAAAATTTCAAAGAATTAAGTATCAAATTCATTATGTTAAACAAATCAATGCAATGTAATAGTATTTTCAGTACTTATTAGCAGTTACATATACATTAATTACTTAACCAATACAACATATATTTTAAAAGTAACTTTATATCAAACAGAAAACAATACACAATATACCGGATTCACTTTATTAAAAATTAACAATAAAAAAATGTAATCAGAACTGAAAAACGTAATATTACTCCAAAAAAGTTATAATTTGAAAATTATTAGATCTGAAAAAAATAAAGTACTCCAAAAAAGTATTGATCAAAATTCGGGAAGAAAGTACAAGTTTTTCGATTGTGGTCTTCTTGCCACATTGCCCATAACAATTCATGTTTGATGTTAGTTTCATCTGGATTTTCCTTCCTTTTTTCTTGATCTAATGGACATTCTTTTGTATCTTGTTGGCAAGATAACTTCTTTCAAAACACAATTCAAAACTGATCAATAACGTCTGTCCGACATTGATTTCATTGGAACTACATAACACACTATACATAAATGCAATCGTACCAAATATAAAATAATAATATCTCTTGACACCAAAGGTTCAAGGAGCCAAAATAACATCCCAAACCAAAAGAAAATAAAAAGAAAAAACAGCCATAAAAAAGAATCAAACTTTTACAATTTTTTTTGAAGAAAAATAAGAAGGTTTCACAATTTGAAATTCAAAAATGCCTAATTCAGTTAGAGGTTTATGAACACTGATTGGTGGAATTGTTAAGCATCCGCATGATTCGTGCGGTTAATTATATTTTCCTTGTTTGATCCCTTCTTTTATGCAGTAAACTGATAACAACAATTTAAAAATTTAAGTATCCGTCAGTTTAAATTAAAGTTTCGGTCATCAATATTATGTATCCAAAATAATATAAAAAAAGAAATTTTTGGTAATTAGTGAAAGAGTAGGGATACTAAATAACAACAAAACATCAAACTTAAATGGATTAGATACGTTAATGTTCATGTGAAACACATAAAAGATACACAAATACCTAAATTTTCATTAGTCATTATATATATAGACAAAAAATAACGTATCAAAAAATATCAAACTGATACTTAAAATATTATCTACAAATATTAATATTTATGTGTAAGACATAAAAGTATCAAAAAAAATTGTGTTCAATGAGTGCAATGAAAATTTGAAATAAACGATACTTAAATGAAAAAAATACAAAAATAAGGATGGATAGGGATACAAATGTACATACCATAGGTAGTGTTGATCGAATAATCGGAGGTGCCTCCTTTCTACCCCTTTTCTTTGGGGTTTTTGGGTATTTTGAAGTAGATGCATGTTTGTTCTTTGCAAAAAGTTCTCTTGCTAGACCTTGGATTTGTCATGACTATAGGGTCATGCAACGATTTACAACTGAAATCTTCGAAGGTTTCAATTCTGGAAAAAAAAACTACAGATTTAAAAAAAAGAAAAGACAGTGAAAATGCAAAAAAAAAAGAAGGAAGAAATCATAACAGAGAAGATGATATACCTGTTTTTGACTCTAATCCGGATGAATAGGGGTAAGATTCTTTTGAATTTCAAATTTAATTTAAATTTTTAGCTGAAAATTTTAGGGAGGAAAAATTTGGGCGAAATTTGGGGGATGAGAAAGGTTTGTTTTTGAATTCCAACGTAAAAAGTAAGTAAAGTATCATTGAGTATAAAAAAAAAGATTCTTGAATTTTAATTAAAAAGTAGGAAAAATTAAGAATAGGTAAAGTAAAGTTATGTAATTTAATAATTTTTCCTATTATTTTATAGTACCTAACAACCATCCAAACAGAGTGTTAGGTAAAGTGTGCTGGTTAAGCAATTAGGTTTAGTGGGAACATAACCAATAGAATTTTAATTTAGTTTACTTCAAGCATGTGAGATTTGATTTGGAAATATTTACCTATAAAAGGATGAAAAGTTTTTCCTCAATTTCTATTCATACCAAGTCACCAACATTTAATTATTAAGTACGAGGATCCTTTTAAATTATTGAATTCTAAATTAATAATTTTTATATATTTATATAATTTTCAAGACATATATAAAATTCGAACTAAATCTACTGTGTTAAAAAACCCTTCATTCTATAGTCATGAAAGGTGAATAAAAATATTTATTCAAATCTAAAATAAAACCCTTCATTGTTATAAAACCATATAAAGAATGATGCATTCAAAATAAAGAATATATTTCCAAAATTAAAAATTAATTGAACATTTTATGACAAATAGGGAAAATAATAAGAGGTGGTTAGATATTAATTCACCATATCTTTATGACTAAAAGTACCTCTATATTTTTCCTAATATGGACTTCAATTGTCCAAATATTAGGTAAAATGAAATCCTTAGCATTAATCTTCTAATTTTGCACTTTTTTTCTCTATATAATCTCCTCTAGGGTTAGTTTTTATTTTCATCAATAAATTATTAATAAATTTGATAGCATGAGATTGTCTTTGCACTATTTATACTTTCACCATTTTCTTGCATGACCATTTATTTTTTATAATTCCTTGTTCTTGATCATTAATATTAAATTGATCATAATCATCTTTATGGAATCAATCGATTGAAATTTTGTAAAGGTTTCAATCATCATTTTTAAATATTGAAAACGGACAATTTAGACTGAGTTTTACTTTTATATATAAAATATTTTAACTATTCAAAGGTCAAATATATTTTTCATAAGATATGAGTGATCATTATAATATTGGAGTCTTTTATTCCAAAATTCAAGATTTACAATATAATATTTGAAGAGTGGAGAACAAAACTTAACACAATTAGAAGCCCCCCAAAAAAACTCATGTCTTTAGACTTAATTTAGGAAGCCCGAAGTTAGATCGAGGGTATTTTAATATTTTGATCAAAATAATAAACCCTAGTATAAATAGATCCTTATGTTTTTCTTTTGGATACTTTCATCTTGATCTTATATCTCTCTCTTGAATTATATCTCCGGCCATTTGGATGTTAATCTAGTTAATTCCTTGATTCTCTTATATATAGAATATTTTAACTAGCTACTCAAACGTTAAATTTGTTTTGATGAGATATAAATGACTATTATAAAAGTGGAGATGTTTCTCCGAACTTTAAGATTTACAATATACTTTTTTTTAATCTGAATAAGGTGTGTTGTATTAGCAAAAAAGATTAGAGGGGAAATAGACCTGAACTCAATACAACACTGATCCGTCACAAAAAAATTAGAAGGCTTATAAAAACTACTATAGAACCTTCTAACTTTATAAAGAAGAAAGTAACTAGCATAAAAAGAAATTTGTTTTCTAAATACTAGGCAATTGCCATTTGGGATAGAGTTGAGTGATGAGCATCTGGTGAGAAGAAGAAGTCAATTTTGTTAAACAATCTGCAACTTGATTTCCCTCTCTGAAGCAATGTTTAATTTGCATTTGCACTCTTTTTTTGATTAATTACGTGAATGATGAATATTTATAGAGTGGAGGAAAAAAATCTAACACAATTAAAGGCCCCAAAAAAGACTCCTATCTTTGGACTTAAATTAGAAAGCCAAAGTTATATCAAGAGTATTTAAATAATTTGATTAAAATAATAAATCCAAGTATAAATAAGTCTTTAGGTCTTTATTTTGGATACATTAATCTTGAATCTCTATTGAACTGCAGCGAATAGGTATTCATGAATGAGCTTATAACTCTCTGAATTATATTTAGCATTTGAATGTTAATTTAGGTAATTCCTTGATTCTCTTATATAAAAAATATTTTAACTAATCAAACGTCAAGTATGTTTCTGATGAGATATGAGTGACCATTATAAAATTGGAGACTTTTTTTCCGAACTTTAAGATTTACAATATGATTACATGAATGATAAATATTTAAAGAGTGGAGGACAAAAGTCAACACAATTAGAAGCCCCCAAAAAAGACTCACGTCTTTGAACTTAAATTAAGAAGCTCAAAGTTAGGTCGAGGGTACTTTAATATTTAGATTAAAATAATAAACCCTAGTAGAAATAGTTCCTTAAGTCTTTCTTTTGGATACATTTGTCTTAAACCTCTATTGAACTACGGCGAGTATGTATTCATGTATGAACTTATATCTCTCTCTGAATTATATCTCGCATTTGAATGTTAATCTAGATATTTCCTTGACTCACTTATATAAAAATATTTTAACTAGTCAAACGTCAAATTTATTTTTATTGAGATATGACTGACCGTT